GAGAGAGAGAGAGAGAGAGAGAGAGAGAGAGTTCTTTCCTTAATTCTGTTATTATAAAATTCATGTTTGCAGTTTTTTTCTAACTTTTTGTCGGCAAACTTTTAGGTGCTGAAAGCGCGGCCATCGGGACGGCCCACCGAAGGCTGCGTCATTTACGGTCTTTTCATGGAAGGGGCCCGCTGGAGCGACAACGAGACGTCTGTCTCCGAATCGCTGCCCAAGGAGCTGCACACTGGTGAGCGGTAGGACCAGGGCCAAAAATTAAATTTTCTGGGCTCCTCGCGTTTTTGGGCTGACTTTCGCTCGGCATCCGCCCCAAGAGGTTCTTCTAGCCTTACGTTTCATCCTGTCCAAGCGGAAAAGGGGTGGGGGGCGGGGGGGTTACCGCTTAACTCGGGCAATCTGGTGTACAAATACTCTGGCCAATTTCCAATAATCTGTAGAAATCTTTCGAATCTGCGTACCAAAAATCATACTAAGACCGACGACCAAATTGTAATTATTTTCATTATTTCTTCAAAAAAAATCTTACAGGCGTTTATAATAGGATATTTGCTGCTCAAAACTTTGAAAGTTCGCAAATTTTGTCGGTTTCCATTTCGAAGCTGCTCTTTTGCCTCTCCTAACGGAAGGCAAAGTGGCCTCCTTGCGGTTGCTGTCAGCTCCAGCCCCTTCCGCACAGCCCGAGGCGGACTCTCGGCCCATCCTATTAGGGACGCACTGCTTCGGAATACAAGATTAGCCCGATTAAAAGGATCACGGCGTCCTTACGACTTATTTTTAAACAGCCCCCCCCCCCCCCATTTTCTCGTGTCTTAAAAGAAATTAAAAAAAAATGAGACCCTTCCCACTTAGTTCATATAATAGAACGTGTATTAGTACGGAATTTTTTATTACCTGGACGCCGAATGAGATAAAAAAAACAAAAACTACTTTCCCGCGCAGAGATGCCAGCCATACTACTGCTTCCCGAGCCCGGCCACAAGGAGGCGGAGTCTGGCGTGTACCTGTGCCCCGTGTACAAGACGCTGCAGCGCGCGGGCACGCTCTCCACGACGGGCCACTCCACCAACTACGTGCTGGCCGTTGAGCTGCCCAGCCGCCGCCCCCAGGGCCACTGGATCGCGCGCGGGGTGGCGCTGTTCTGCGCGCTCGACTACTGAGGGGTGCGGTGTCGACGCATCTATCAAAGCTCAGCGCTTCTGCGCCTACCTCCCCTCCCCCATCCCCTCTCCCCGGTCCATTGCGGCCCCCACCCCATCCCCGATTGTCCCCAACACGTATAATTATCTCTTATCGGTGTCTGACAGCGTTTGTTTATAATTTTTATTCGTAACGCGATGGTACACTTTTCTCTGTATGGTACTTCTCTTGATGTACTACTGCGAGCTGTCGAGTTTCCTTTGTGTAACTTGTTTTCCTGTTTCTTTTGCTGGTAAGGGTGTAGAAAAAACTGTAAAATGTGTGGTTTGTTTTAAACAATTTTTATAAAAAAGGTTCTATAAATACAGTTTGACGAGTTCACATGTACACATATTTTCATAAATTAGTTGATGTCCCAGTTGTTTAATATTTTCGTACTTACAGGTAGCCTTTACTAACAACCTCCAGAAATAGTGGTCATGGCAAGGGTAAAAGGGTAAAGCGTGGAGGTGTGGGACGGGGTAGGAAAAAGATGCGGTAGGTAGACGCTATGGAAATAATGCAACAAACACGACCACAGCTGGGGATTCGACTAAAACTACACGTATAGGAGAATACTGTTCACTGTTCTGGCCTTTAGGGTTTTCTCCAAAAAAATGTCCACACATGTCGCAAGACATCGACCGCACTGCTGTACACTCTTTTTCTTTTGGAGCGCCTCGGCGGGGAGCCTTTGTGGCGTTGCCCTACTCGACTTGACGCGTTATACGCTCGGACACACACTGGAGTGGAAGTTGGAGTGCCCGGGGCGGCTGTCCGGGCCCGACTCAGTTGACCTCCTGCTCGGTGTGTGCCGTGCCACCTGCCAGGCCCGTGGACGACTCATCGTCCGGCAGCTCCTCCTTCTGCACGAGGCGCACAGGCTGGGGCCGCGACATCATCTTCTGCTGGCTGCAAAGACACGCCCGTCTCATATTACCTCATACTCGCCTTTGTGCGTCACCCTTTCTGCTCCTCTAAAACACGGCAGCGCACAAGGTGGAAATAGGCTATTTACTTTATTGTTTTCAACGCATCAACGTCAGTCGACGCCGAGGGGGTTTTTGCTCAGAATTCTTTTTCAGGTTTTGCAACCGAAGTTTTTTCCATTTTGGGGCATAGTTTTTCTTTCTATTTTTCGATGTGACACTACGCGTAGTTTAGGTGTACATAGTGTGTATTACGCAGGCGAAAACCCCCTCGGTCAACGCAAATAACAATCCACCAGCGAGGTTCGCACACTTGAGTCGAAAGTTTAAAATATACACCGCCATTTCCAAGCCTATTTCCCCTTGAAGTGCGTATGCCGCGTAACGTACCTGGGGGGCGAGTACTCGCCGCGCTGTCTCCGCCGCTTTCTGCTCTCGAAGAGCTTGTAGGCAATGAAGGCGAGAATGGCCAGCAGCGGCCCGATGATGCCCAGCACCCAGGCGAACGTGAGCCCCACGTTCTTAGACGAGTACTCCTGGGAACCTGCGTGTCACACTCGAGCGTGTTGGCTTGGTTGCCCCAGGCACCAGAGTCGGGGGAGGTGAATGGAAATTGTCCCAGAATTTCAATGTACAGGGTTCATGCGTGAGTTAGGAGTGATCGGACTGGGTGGGAGAAATGTCTGAGAAAATTTCCATTCCACCTTTGATGGCGTCGAGAAAAGAAAAATTAAATAGAGAAACGAAAAGAGAGAACATTTACTGCGACTTTGATGAGTATTAGAGCATGGCCGCTGCCCCGGAAAGCCAGTTCCCGCCATTTCGAAATGGAATAGAAATTTTCCCTTCAAGTTAAAACTCGTCTGAAGCT